GATGTTTTTGCCAACTAATGGGTTTTCCAATTAAACCACGAACAGCTAAACTTATAGCGGCGGAGCAGAAAGCAACCGAGACAAGTACAAGGGCGCAGCGCATCTTAAAGTTACTCACCTGGGTGGTTTGGGCTGAACCGAGTTCCCGTCTTTCGCAGGCAGCTGAAGCGTCTGCTGAAGAGCTGCCAGGGGGAATTTTCCACCTCGGAAAAAGAGGACGAGGAGTTGTTGGGCAAGGCTCCAGCCTGCGCGGGAGGGGGGCGGGGGGGGGCTACCGAAATTATGATCCTGTGTCTTTGTATGGGTACCCTTCTTATGTTTTGCTAGGGCAGCCGGCAGAAACCAATCGTTTTATCGTGGGGGGGAGGGGGGGGGGGGTGGGCATACACATACCTATATATGTTGACATGTTGGCTTTTGCAACCGCTCGCCGGAGAAAAGTAAACACGCGGTTGCCCCAAGTGGAGCATCACCCTTTGCCAACTCGGTGAGCGCCTGGGAGCTCATCAGAGCTGAGTGAGCCTCGCGGGGCGAAAGCCTCAAGCCGTGTAAGGCGGCAAAAAGTGCTCCCCGGTTGAAGTTGGGCTAACAAACGGAAGGCTGGAAGCAGTGTCAGGTGAATTGCGCGGCTGCTAGTTGTTGATGTAAACCATCCTACAATCATCTAGCGTGAACCTGGCCAGAGATGGTGGCATGTTAATAAACTCGGCAACCTCGAGATGGACTTGCGACCGCTTTGCGTGGTTCGCCTAAGACGTGAAAATCGCGCCCTGGCCGGGAATTTCTTCTCCAGGATGGGAAGTGTTTGAACTTCAAGATGCACCGTTCTTTCTTTCTGCGATCTCCAAATGTCTCCAGCCTTGTTCGCGTGCGAAGGGATGACCTTACCGCACGAATGTTTCAGGGGAAGCCAACTTGCACCTGACTCACCTGCACGCGCCGAAAGCAAAGGGTCGTCTCGGCTCGCAGGTGAAGGGCAACCGGAAAGTGGCAGTGGCCTTTCGTCTCAGGAGGAAGCAAGCGCTGAGGCAAGGTACGGTGTGCCGTGGCTCGTCGTTTTGTGCGGGAACCCCCCTTTTGAGTAGGTTTGAAGGGAAATCACCAGCAAAACCGCCAGTTTGGGGAGGGGGGCGGGGTCAGACCTACATGGCTGGCTGCTTTTTGTATTGCTTTCTTAGCTCTGCTGCTTCGTTGCATCTCCCAACCAAACCTGGCAAAGGAACTGGGTTTGCTGTCAGGAAGGTGCTGCTCGAGCTCTGTTTGCATCGATGTGGCAGCAAGCCCTTACACTTTTAAGCATAGGTGTCCTTTTTGGGTTGTTTTGCTAGAAGAATATACTTTCCCTGGTTTACCTGGTGACTTAATCATCTACCATATTCTTTCCGAGGGCCACGGCATGCTGACATTGGCCAAGTGTTGCACGCCTCCTAAATTCTAAGATGGTTTCCAGTACCCCCAAACCACTACTCCCACGGGTTGAATTGGATATGCAGCCACTACAGGGTATATACGAAAATGTTGCTTGGGGTAGTGGTTTTAGTGGCCATCTTGGATAAATCTGCATGCCCGTACTGCCTCACACCGGTGCAACTTGCAAAGCGCACTGCAGGCTGCGGTCGAACTCCATCGATGTTGCCAGGTGCAGCCAGTTGATTCTGGTTGGGCACAAGGTTTCCCCTTACGCGACGCCCAGTGCGGGAAAACCAAGATGCTTTCATGCCCCCAGGCGCATGACGCAACTGAGTTGCTGGACGTTACCCTCCCTCCCACTACCATGGCACCTCACAGAGGGTCGCTGAAAGAGGGAATTGATCTTCCAGGTATCCTGCCACAAATGCTATATCAGTGGGAGGAAGGGTCACTGTTGAAAAAGTTTAGAGACTTCTGACCAATCCACTCGAGAAGTGAGGAGTTCCCATTGGACACCAACAACACTTGCTGGTTCGATAGGCAGGGAATGAGAAATGGAATGGCCACAAACTAAATTCCATCCTTCCTATGGTTTCTCGGTTTACCGGTATAAACCACTCCCCTATGGCATGGTTGCTGTTGGGAAACATTTTACATTTTTACTTATTGTGGTTCAGTTAACTGCTAAAAAACAATTGTTTGCTCCCCTTCCAACGTCAACCAGGATATCTTCGCCGGGAAACCCCTTCCGGTTTGCCAAATCCCGGACTGGTCCTTCCCTACCTCCAGCTTCGCCGGAGGCTTGTGGTGGAAGAGGCTGAGGAAGCCCTGGCCAAGGCTCAGGACCTTCCTGCGCGGTTCAGCAGCTGCGGCGGAACCTGACCTTCGGGAAATCCCATTTAAACGAAAAATGGTGCAAACCAGGATCCGAAGGTCAGGTTCCATGTTTGCTGGGAGGGTACGTTCTTGACTTGCGGATCCCTTGTTCACTTGATTGCTTTTGGGTATCGGATCTTTAAAATTTACTTGTTGGTTGAAACAGGCCCGATTTTCTGAATTGAACCGACAAAAAGTGAAGAGCTTTGCTCGGAGGGGAGCAACCAAGTTTAGGTCCGGTCTTGGAATTGTTGTAGGATGTCGTAAGGATTCGCAGGCTGCATTTGTTCGAAAGGTATAGCCATGGCGCTCCACAGCAAGAGCAAGCCTTCAAAAGCAACTGCAATCTTATGGCAGTTGAGCCCAGTGACCTCACTGACTCATGAGCAGGGCTCGGTATATGTATGTGCGTGGCCGGGGGGCTTTAACTGTCAAGTGCAACCCAACCTGTTTGTCAGCTTGCCCATGCGCAATTGAGTAAGGGCTGGGTATGCAAAGAGAGCATGGGGGTGATCCTCTCGTTCGAGTCTCTTTCTGTTCCAAGTTGGGTTTCAATGACTTAAGCTGTTTAATATATTGCAACGTCGAGTCATGGTAGATCAACAGTTGATGGTTGATTTCTTCCCTGTGGGCGCGGCACCAAATCATGGTTGTTGTTGCGAAACATTTTGCATATTTGCTTATTGAAATCGCTACGCGATCCGCCGACGCCAGTGGACAGTCCCCCATTAACAAACTGCAGGGTGCCTCAAGTTTGGGGTCAGGAAAAAGACGTCTTTTTGCCTAGGTCATATTTTATGTCCCAGATGCTGAGGATGCTGGAAATGCAAGGGATGCAGCCACACAACTTACAAGAACAAACCCAATCTTCACGCTCAAGATTTTAAGACTTTCACACACGCGACATTGACCAAACACAGAAAATACGAGAGTTGTGGGGAATGCTGGGAATGCAGCCGGCTAGCCACAAAAAAGTGCAAAAAACCAGGGTTTTTTCAATATTTCCCAAAAGCAGCCATCAAAAACCGATACTAGCAACCCCCCTCAAATACCCTAAGAATAGACTTCCAAAAGCACGATAATGCAGGGGATGTTTCGCAGTAACTGCTCCGTACAGGTGGGGAATTGCAAGAAAACTCATTTTTTGCAGATTTCAACAGTTCCTCAAGTGTCACTGCACTTGGCTTCACCCAAACCCCTAACAGGCCAATTCCAACATCGCTTGAAACAGCAAAACGCCACTAGTGTCTGCAAAAGAAAGAGACAAATTCATGGCAACAAGATAATCCTGATGATGCTGGGGATGCAGATCCTGCGCGTCCGGGGGAAACCCCCCCCCCCTAGAGACTTAGGCGAAACGCAGATTTCTAGCACGAAAGACCCAAAAACACTGGAAAAACAGCATGCCCAAAAAATAGCAGTCCCAAAAGCCTTCGGCTTTGATAAGAGATTCCGAAGGAAGACCAAGTTGCGGACTGCCATCTACACGCTCGACTGGCGTCGGCGGATTGTGGTTTAGTGGGAAATCCAACCACTGAACTGCTAAAATTTAAGTTTTTGCTGCCCTTCCAACGTCAACCAAGATATCTTCTCCTCCCGCCATATCTTTGTCAGGATGGAGGCGGACTTCCCTTCGCCGTCCGCAAGTAGCCAGAGCCCGCTCGTGGGCGCAAAGCGCGTGAGGGCCAGCCAAGCGCGAAGCGCAAAGCGATGGAAAAGCGCCGGCGCCAACTCGTGGCCAATCATTGCGTCCAAGGGTGGGGTCATTGCGCAGGTACAAGTTGTGGATTAGCCGCACATCTTAGTCAGCTTTGATGGAGCCAAATCCGAAGGAGCCAGCTCCCAAGCCTTCCATGGGCGATTTGTTTCGGCCGAGATGGCCCTTTCCGGCAGTTTTCGCCTGTGAGGCGACTTTGTGATTGAAAGGGAAAAGGCGTCAAAACTGGAAATGGCAGGCATTTGCTTGCTTTTCAGTGGAATTTGTTTCCCCTTTTTGTTGGCTTCCCCGCGAAATGGACCACCCCCTTAAACATGGAATTGGGGGAGGGGGTGACCCCTGGAATTCTATTTATGGCTCCTTCTTCCCTTTGCTGGGGAAGACTAGAGAAATGGAATTCCCTTCGCCGTAAAATAGGGGGGATGCAAGAAAAGAAGTGGTTCCCATTTTTTCAGGGTCACAGAACCACGAAGCAGAGTCGGCCTTTTGATTTCTTTTGGGACGCCCTGCCAGTTCCCCAGAAGGAAAAGTCTTCCAACTCTGATCGTCAGCTTCCGGGGGGGGGGTAGGTGCATTGCCCGCTTTCCTAGAACTTTGCCTAGGATCCCGCAAACACATCCGCCAGAATGGTCTATCTGAGTCTTTCCCAAGGGGGTGTGTTTGCGGGGGGGGGGAGGTGCTCCGTTTCAAACTGGGGTCCCAGGCCCCCCCGCCCCCCACACAAAAAAAACAAAACACACAAATCCTTATATAAGGCCTATAGGTGGGAACTTCGGTGCAAGCTGTAAGCCATGTTTTTGGAACACGCTGAAGCGGGTGTCTCCCGGGGGGGGGGGGGGGTTCTGATGTATGACCGCTCATTTTCGGGCACCTGGACCCTCAAACTGCCCATGTAAAGAAAAAAATGTTTCACCGCATAATGTTAGCTATCACGCATGTTTAAGGGAATTTTGGGGGCCAGGCATGTCCGTTTGGGCTACGCACCGAAAATCCTAAGGCGGCCACCCACCCGCAGAGCACCTCGGTGTTCTTCGAGCGCTTCGTGCAGCTGTGCGCCCGGACGCCCGAGGTTCGGCGAGGTAGGAAGAGATCGGCTTCGATACTTTCCAGAGGAACATCGTCCATTTGTTCAAGTACAGGGGTGTGGGATCGAGGGGTTTATCCCCACTTCTGTGATACATGGGATTCTTCCCCAGTGTGTGGGGGGTTGGTCTTTCTGTTGTATCACAGAAGTTGTCATTTCCCACAGCCCAGTTCAAGTATATGGGTGTCTTAGAATAGGACTCCCCCCCAAAGAAGACAGAAAGAAAAAGATGATTGGTTTTCCATTTGGTCCCCCTTTTAAAACCACCAACAAAGGCGTACACTCAAAAAAAGAGAAACCCATATGTTCTATTTCTGCCTCTCGGCTTTGAAGGGAATCTATCACAAAACATGTTCATTGACACAGAGAGGTCCTCAGGGGAGATTCCTCTCGCGGTTTTGTTTTGTGGCTCCATGTCAAACTGTCGGGAGTATGTGGGTGTCAAATGGCACAATCATTGGTTTGTTTCTGCGAGGATGGAGAAAAAGGGGCCGTTGAATTTGTCCAGACCCTTTCTCGAACAGCCATGCAGCTACGATCAACACACATTGAGGACCTTAAGGATTTTGGCAGTGAGCTCGCAGTTGGCGAGGCTTAGCTTTAGAGTTGCATTCCAAGAGCTTGGGCTTATGTCAGGGGCATACTTGGGCGGACGATTTCCTGAGGCTTCAGATTTCAGCACATGACGAATCGCTTAGCATCACGAGCCAGGGTTCCTCCATTTCCCTTTTAGCCTCCAAAAGTTGGCCTCTGGCGGACTTTTTCCCAAAACCCAGGTTCAACGTTGAGCTCTGTGAACACCGGCTCGACTGAGGCATCGGACACCCGCGAGAACAAGGCGGGACCCGAAAAACTGAGGGCGGGGGATGCCCTACCCGGAATAGCTCGAGCCATGGCCATTGCAATGAGTGCGCCATAACGACGCAAGATTGTCGGGATCCGGTGGCCATTGACCCATACTCGGAATCGTCGGTGTGTAGAGGAGTTGTTTGCATCGGCCAGCAAGCTCTATGTTTTTCGGATTTGGAACAACTGTAGGAACGATTTTAGCGGTAAGAAGTTCGGACTTTTGTAGTGAGCCTTTGCGCCTGCGGGGATGTGCTCAATCCTTCTGGCCTGCGTGATGCCTCGGCCAGCACCAACCTTTGCAACCGACCAGTCTTGAAGAATCTTGGAACCAATCAGGCATCCAACTTGATTTGTGGACTTGGTTCTGAAGAGTAGGGCTGCCGCTAGTTGGCTGTTTCAGGTGCATGCGCAGGAGATGCCCAAGCCAGGCGCAAGGGGTTTTGCTGAAGGGGCGTGAAAGGGGCATAGCTTGGCACAAGCCGAGGTCACGACCAGCAGCTTCCTTCGCTCATGCACGACTTCATGTGACATTTAGGGGTAAGCCAGCACCTGCGAGAACACTAGCGCTCAGCCTGTGGTTTGGATTGGACACTTTCTGCTTGAGGGGTGTTTGACCAGACGGCGGGTTGGCTGATAGAAAGGCCAACGTCCCCTTTTCCGGACATCGAGAACTGTCTGGCCAAGTGCGGAAATGTTCAACCTGCGGGTTCGCGACGAGCCACGGGGCAACCACTTCAAATGGAACCCCGGGAGTTGCGGCTTGGGTTTTTTCCCCATGCTTGGCACCCAATGCCACTGCCAAGTGGCTTGGGCCCTACGCGGCCCATGGCTGACGGAAGTGTCATGATTTGCTCGGGTCATTTCCTAGCGATGTGCTTTTTCGAGGACCCGGGGAAGTCGTGCACGCGCAGTTGCCTTAGTGCAATGCAGGAGGTTCAGAAAAACCTTGTGCAAGGTTGTCCAGGTCCATTCCACCTCCTTCTTGCTGAGCAACAAAGGTTGGTGAGTTTATGAGGAAGGGAGGTTGCATTTGCATAATGTTGCACGCACTCTACGCACTCTTGACAAAGAAGGTTCTCACAGGTTTGCAAGCCAGTTGCTATCAGCAACTGCTTGGTAGGTACGGCAGCCCTTTGGCCCTTTCTTTCCCTGCAACGACTAGGATGTTACTATATGTGCAAAGACCTACAGCCAGCTCTCTGATAGCAACCCGGCTCGCTCTGGCTTTGGTCATGGCAGTCTCATGCGGCCATCCTGGCTTCAAGTGGCTGCATATTGCCTTTTTTTTTTTTGCAGACACGCGCATGATCCTGGAACGTCGGGTCTTAGCTTGCCACTTTGCGATACCTTTGAAACATCAAAGCAAGAACAAGTCCCAGTCCTTGGCATCACAAAGGATAGTTCTTTCTGATTTGCCTACAGGCTGGCCTGGTCCATTTGAATCATGGAACTGTCAACCTGAGAGGGCGCGTTGTTTCTCCAATGTTCGTTTGACGGGGCCAAAGATGGCCGTCTTTCGTAGGTGGGATGCTTAGTCGCAGGTTGTTAGTGCAAGGCTCAGGGTCCACATGTTTGTGCTCACCTCAACTCCGCGTTTCCTCAAGAAGATGCAACTAATTTCCTTGTTGGCTTACGGGGAGCCAATCCCTCGTATTTTTGTTGCCAAAAAACTGTTCAGCAGATGGATGGTAGTTTTGTTTGGCTTGCCGGAGTCTTAGGCGCGCTTCACGTGCAGGCTGGCCGGGGAAGGAGCATCCCAGGACGCTCCAAAAAAGGTTCCACTTGACTGCCCGAAGCTTCCATGTGCTGAAATCAACATGTTTGTTATGGATTGTTTAAAGGGAATCCATGACTACCGGAAATATGTTCACTGTTTTCCCGGGGGCCCTAAGCAAATAGAAGTCAGGTCGACTTAACCAACCAGGAATTCGTTTCCCTTTGGGTGGGAGCCCTGCGTGCTGTCATTACGGGTGAGAAAACATCACACATGGACAAGAAGCTGGTGTTACAAGACCTGAACAGCTGCAAGAAGCCATTGGAGCATACGCAAGCATCGCCGCACCACAGCCATCGGCACCCAAGCTGATTGCATTGAAGGCGGCGTTGAATCCAAGCCTGCAAAGTGATACATTTTGGCCGTGCTCACGACAGGGGGGGGGGGTCGTCCAATGTAAGTGAGTGGGGTAAAGTGGTGCATATCTCCTTTCAGCTCCTCAGCTAGGTCCCCCAGTGCTGCCCCTTGTACCGTTTCTTTTTTGGTCGGGAGATTCGGTTCCCCTACTAAAATCGACTACAGAAAAAGGTTGGCTGGAGGGCCAGGGCCCCAGATGTGCGCCTCTGCAAGCCCTGGGCCGTGCGGGTTGGCGCGCTGGGTCCTTGTCCAATGTTCAGTTTTGACCATAGCCGAGCACGCCAAATATGATGGTCAATTTCCAGCGTTCGTCAATGGGAGCAGGATTCAGTTCAATGAACTCCTTGCCAAGAAATGTTCCGGAGATCTAGTCATTTGGCCCCGCTCTTCCCCAACCCGGGCTACCTTGCCAGGCAGCAACTTCCGACATTCCACCCCAGAGGAGCAGGCCGGTGTCTTTCGATTTTTGTGCGGGTTGGAGCGGAATTCGGGGAACCAGGATGTTGGGCCAAACTTGGTATGATCGAAGCCGTGGTTGGAATTTGGCATGGCAGGTCAGGTCCCTGCGACCAAATTTCTAAATCAACTGGCACTGGTGGCATTTCTGGCGATGGATTTCCAGACGGGGGGGCTGCATGTGGCAAGGACATATCCCAAGCAAACAATCCCTGTGGTTTCCTTCTTGAATGAACAAGTACACTTCTCTCCACATGGAACCTACCAGAGGCTCCAGGAAAATGCTTTGGGATGCCAAGAAGTCAGGTTCCACATGAGTCACATGATTAACGCGTTTTGGATTCCATGGACCTCAAACTCAGGTTCCATACCCCGAGTAAACGGGAGGTTTTTCGGTTTGAAATAGCAAGGCCGTGGCCAGCAGCCCCAATAGGGCCGAAGCCAGGCGAGTCGCAACGTGTAACAAAGATGCCAGCCATTTCCCTTCTTTGTCGGGAAAGCATGGCATATGTACCAGCACTTGGTAGCCATTCCCCCCCAGCAAACGGAAGATACCTGAAGAACTTCGAGGCTGGCAGACGCCCGGGGGTTGATTTATCCCAGGCTGGCAGACGTCGAAGAAAAGTGAACACGGCGTCCAAGAACATACTCTTCATGACGCAAAGCATTGTGGGGCGTCAGTGACACACTGGTCTGGGAACTACATGCAAAAGTGGTGTCATATTACTTTAGATCAGATCTTTTTGCGGAGTTGGAATGTTGTGTGCATCTACCGCGTAAGTTTGACGTTGTAAGACATGCAGCTTACAACCCGATCAACTTTTGCAAGTGATGCTCCCCTGTGCTTTTGCCAGGCCAAAGGCCGTTGCCCTTAAAGCCAACAGCTTGCGACAAACGAACCACCTGCCACATCCTCGCCTGGGAGCTCAAATCGCTGGCTCAGGCCGACGATTTGCTATTGGAGGACGTCGTTGGATGATTCGCTCGCTCATAGGCGCCTGTTTTCCTTGCGATTTGAGGGGGGTTAACACATAGTTCGGACTTGTTTTTTTGCCAATCCACTCAGGAAGTGAGATGGGGTGGGCACCAAATTGAAGGCTCAGGCTCCTGGTTCAGTTCCATTGGGCCGCTCGATTAAGCGTGCGTCGGTTGCAGCCAAGCCCCACAAGCCATCCCCGTCAAGGGCAGCCATGTTCCGACAAGAGTAGACTTGCATGTCTCGGTTCTCCTGCGACCTGGACTTGTGCGTGTGAGTTTCATATGGCTGCATTGCCTTTGTCACATGACTGCTTTGTTGATTGTTGACTTCATGCTTGCCCCCTAGCCCTCAGAGCAGAAGCCTAGATTCAAGCTAGGAAGCTATTTCAAGATGGGCCGGTGTGGGAATGGGCACATGTTCTTGGTTGCGGGATATTCGGTGAGTAACTTAGATTCAAGAGGAAACGGGATCCATTCAGGCGGTGTAGGGTTTGTTTCCACCAAAGGCTCCAGTTGGCCAAAACCCACAACCTAACCACTGGCGAAAAATTCGGCGAAGCCCTGCCTGTGCCCCTGACGCATCCTGACGCCTTTGACAGGACCTCGCCGCACGCCCCAGGGTGCCTTTGCAGATTGCGGACTGCGCGCCCAAGGCGACGCCGGGGCCCTGGAACTTTGGTGCGAGGCGCATGCAACGCACCCGATGTGAAGGAATGAGGGGGGGACAAAACATGTGGAACCACACACACACACACACCCGCCGGAAAGTACCCGGAAACAACTGTCAAAGAAAGGTGGAAAGAAAACATGAAGCACAAGCTGACACCCATCTAACGGCGGGTCAAGTGTTCGCTAGTCTCCGCTGAGGCTCATGTTCCGCGGCCAGTGCGCACATTGCAAAGGCGGCAAATTCGTGGGGTTGGAAGTTAGGTCGAAGTCGGGTCGTTAACCGCCGAGGAGTGGTTTTGGGCAAACAGCGACCTCGCAAAAAGGCCGTGCGACCTCACCAAAGGTTCATGTAGGGGGAAGTTGCTCAGAGACTGGCTGAGCGTGGTCGGATCCCCCCAACCGTACAGAATACAAAATTGTCGCCGGGCTGAGTCTTGCATGTTGGAGGCAGCGGCCTTTCTGGGGCTGCATGCTCAGTCAGGTGGCTTTGCGCGACTCACGGTGCAAAGCTAATGCACACTCACCAGGCAGTCTGCTCAGTCACGGGTTCCCTCGGCAGTTTTAGATAAACATATATATATGTACGTATTATATATGTTCTTGTGAAATGTAGGGAACACTGATTCCTGTCATGCTCCCGTTTTTGCGCCAGGTGAGTTAAGCCTCTCCTCCATCTTCGCCCAGTGGATGCGACCTGGTGCGGAGGAGTCGGGAGGGGGGTGGCCGGCTACCCACCTTCCAATCATGGTGTAGGCGCAGTCCTTTGGACGGTTTGCGTGGTTGCGTTACCATGCCGTTGTGATGTGTGCTTTAAGGCTGGTCGTTTTGCGGTGTCTTGCGTGCAAGCGTTTGCACACGTGTCATGTTCCTTCGCCCCGTCGCGCAATCAGAGCGTTTTGGCTTAAAGTGTGTCAAATCAGTCCAAATCATTCTGGCGCCACCACCACTTTGAGCATGGTTTGATTGTTGCACGCAGCGCTTTAAGAGCTCTTTATCAAATTCTGTGGCAGGCGCAGCACTTTTAGCTTGAGTGCAGACACATCGTGGCAGGCGAAGTAGTTTTTGGAGGGTTGCACACTGAATTGTATGACGGCCGCAGCACAGACGCGTGGTGTTCTATGAGCATGACAGGGGCGTGTGGTAGGCGCCGTGTTTGCAGAGGGTCTTGCGTTGAATTCATGTCCGGCGCTTTCTTTGGACGTCTTCAGGGGAGGGGATGTCTTTGCAAGGTGCCTTGTTGAGATGCTTTTGGGGGTGTCTTTGGGAATCATGTCTTTGCGGGTGGCTTGGGCAAGGTGTTTGATGTTTCGGAAACGTGTTTTGGGGGGTTGTCTTTAAGGTGACGTCCTAGGGAGGTGTCTCTACAGGTCTTTGGGACGCCTTTGAGGTTGTATTTGCCTGCGGTGTTTTGGGAATGTCGTTTGGGGGATGTCGGCATGGATTCTGTGGGGCTGTCTGTTCACGATTCTTGGGCTATTTGATGTTTGTTGGCTCTTGGGCTCACTCCCGAGCTCATGGACTTGAAACCGTATAAGAACACCATTTCAGTAAAGCAAAGTTCGGACGTTTTTTGGCCAGTCCACTCATGCAGTGACCCAGAGGGTCCAAGTACCTTCTCAGGAGGTACTTCGACCCCTTTTTACTCCAGAAGCCATCCTCAGGCGGTACCAAGGGACCCTCATGCCAGCAAGTGGCTTCCACTTCGTCCTCAGCAAAAACTTGACGCGCGTGCCAGGACTCCAGCGCCGTGCAGTGCCCCCACTGCCGATACTCGTGGGCGGCCTAGCCGCCAGTGGCTGAATTTCTTTGATCCAAGGATATTCCCCACCAAACTGATGTCCAAACAGTCCCAAATGAAAAGACTCCGCTTCTGCCATGCCTGTCTGACAGGACCCAGGAGAAGTTCCAGTTTGCCAATACTGTCGGGTTAACGCACTGAATCGTCAACTTGGGAAGGTCAAGGCCAATTCCAACTTCCCAGCCTTCATCTTGTTGCGGCTTTAGGAAGTGGCCATGCAACAGCCAATCCTTTCCACTGTCCTGGACGCTGTGCCCACCCTGTTCGTCCAGGGGCAACTTTCCACCGCTTTTCACCTCAGTTCTGTGTTGCAAATGTAAGCCACTTAGTTCTGTGTTGTAAATGTAAGCCACTTAGTTCTGTGTTGCAAATGTACGCCATTGGATCCCCTATGCAGGTAAACGGAAGCCCCGGGTAGTATTCGCTTTGGCCAACTTTCTCGGTTCATCCTGCTGGAATCCATCGAGAGCCAAGAAAGCCTGCCTGAGGTCCTTGGTGAAGCTGCACGTGACTGGGGACGCACATATCGAGGCTCGCGCCAGAGAGCTCTTGTGAAGAGTGGTCAGTTCGCTTTGATGTGTGGAATGCAGGTGCTTGTGAGGCCATATTTGTGTGGTGGACGTGGCTCAGGTCTCATAAATTGCAATGAGGTTATCACGTAGGAGATTTGGCCTGGGAGTTGCATTTGGCCGTCGTGAAGTGACCAGGTAGTGCAATGCATCAGGGATGAGTTTGTAGAGAACGTAAAAAATCATTCAGCAGTGCGCGTTATGACACCAAACAGGACTCAGGGTCCTGAATAGGAGTGACGTTGCTGCCTTGAATGTGAAAACATAGGATGCCTCATACAGGCTGATCCATGTGAAACTTTGATCACGGGACGGCTGATTAGACCAATTCAAGCCGATGTCTACCCGGAAACCATTCCGAGATCATGAGCGCTAGGGCAGAACCGTGGAGGTTGACCTGCTTCACCCGAAGAGGCGTGGGGAAAACCGCGGGAGAGCCGGACTTGACGTCCGGCTCACGTCTTCGCTTCGTTCCTTCGACCCATGCGATGTGGATTCGGGGGGCACGAAGCGGGGCACGACGCAGGGCACGCGCGGTTCTCCGATTTCCATGTGGGTGTGGGTCCAAGTTTAGCCACCAGGGGACCACAGGCTTTAGTCCTTGATTCCATTTGCCAGCGTTCCATGTTGGGTACCCGTTTTTGACCCACAGCCATGTGAACAGCAATTGGACATGGCTTCCTACTGTGACAATCCTGTTCCGTGTTGTGTTAAAACTAGAAAAGATATTGTGCTGGCGTGCAGGGGGTTCGTCGATCCCAAGAGAGTCGCTTGACACTCTAGGAAACGGTTTGGATGCGGCTTTTGTGGATCCACACCTGCAGAATATAAGAAAAAAGAGCACTAAGAGAGTATTAAAAACAAACCACCAGGGGGAAGAACAGGTAAAATCCACAACTAGCGCGTCCAAGCCGTTTTCTAGAGACACGCTCAAGTTGTCCGCCAGGCTGGCCTTGGCTCTGCGAGGCCAGCTGGACGCGCGCGCCAGCCGCTCCAAGGAGACGCTGGGGCCCGGCTGGCTCACCAGCACTTGCCTCGGATGGGGCTGGCCTTTCCACCCGAGGGACGGGGCAACTGGTTGGCATCATTGGATTTGGGTGAGTCTTATGGGGAGGGAGGGGCTCCCAGAAAAAGGTCACCGCCATCATGTTTGTTCAGCAAATCGACCGGATCAACCGACCTTTCGTTGGTCCCTGTTTAGCCAAGATCCCCCGAAGGTTAGCCCTTCGATCTTTGGGTTACTTGGGCAAACAGTTCTTTTTGCATGGAGGGATTCTTGGAATTCGCTCATAGTACAGGTGTATTTAGGGATGGTACCTCAGCGCTGCGCTTCGAAGTTTAGTGCCAAGATTCAACTTTGAGACCTGTTTTTTGGAACAAATCTGTTCTCTCTGGTTTTGAGCAGCGAGAAGGATATGCATCAAGTCTTATTCAGGACCCTTAGCCCTTGCCTTGAAAGCCTTCGCAACTTCACCCGATTGAGCACGCAATGCCAAGTGGGGATTCAGGATAAGGGATTTCGTGAGTTGCGGACTGGGCTGGAAGGCGTTCTGACCCTCTGACCTGTGCTCTTGTTCAACTTTGGCTGTTCAGATCACAGGGGCTATCCCACTAGCTGGATTGGGAGCTTGGGATATCTCATGGAGAATGCATCCAGGAGATATCAAAGCCAGGAAGCTGTCGTTGGGATCTTTTGAGAAGCCGGGAGCGTACTGAGCTGGACCCTTTGATAGGCGGAGAGCACAAGCTGCTTATCCGGGATGCAAAGCATTGTCTATTCGAACATTCCGTCTGCTTGGAAGAAATATTTGCTTCCTCTTGGCTCGGGCAATTCGATATGTGGGGGTGTATGTTGTTCTCGCATTCGCTTAATGTAGACATTGATGCCCGCAAGGTGTGGCCCCTCAGGTTAACTGTCAACCCAACTAGATATTTATTTGCCTTAACGAAGTACTTAGCTTGACCGGAGGGCACTTTGTGGGATTCTATTGCCTGGAGCTTCTCCCAGTTACTCTCTTACTTGAGGGTTGGAATGAAGTTCAATGTTTGCGTGTGTGTGTGTGTGTGTCCTGGTTCAGTGAGCCTTCACCCCTTTGCGTGTCTTGTTTGGGTGGACTCGTGGACCCCCCGTTTCCCTTTCTTAAGCCGTAACCCACAAAGATGGGGTACCCTCCAAGCTTTGAGCTTGAGGCCTGGCTACGGAGTGCCCGGTGCTGTGGACCAACTTGGTGTCGCTCAGAAGCATTGGAGTGAGTTTTTGCCAGAAACTCTTTTGAAACGAGTGGCTGCAAATTCCCCTGCCCAACAGGACATGCGCCGACCCTTTCCGGAAGACCGTCCTCTGCCAATTGAAGAAGCACCGGTGTATCTTGCTGCTTGCTTCGCCCGGCTTTAGCAATTGCTATTTCCCGGTGAGTCTGCAAAAAAAGCGTCATCTCAACAGAAACAGCGGCCGGTTCCAGGAAACAGACCGGGTGGCGCGCAAGTAAGTGCAATCTTAATGTCAGACTTGTTGGTCCGATGCGATGCTGGGCAAACAAGTCAGCGTCCTGCCCTGGGCTTCTATGACGGGAGCACTCCGCGCTTGGCTTCATGGCAACCCCGGATTCGAGGAATGTGCCAGGGTTGAGTGGGGAATCATCCACCCTCCCCCCGTTTTCGTTGGACGGGTTGATTCATCCAGAGCTCTCATGAGGTTTGCGCAGTCCCAGAAGTGTTTCCCGGCCGCTGTGTTCCTGAAATGAGCTTCTCGGGCCATGTTGGGCCCCATCTGCGTCACATTTGGTCCATTGGCTTTTGTGCCCCCAGCTGGGAGGCGCAAGCTTTTGCGCGAGCGTCTGTTGAGCCAATGACGCACCCCGAACATGGCAGAGCCAACTTTTGACTTGATTGCTTATCAGCCACTGGCTCTATGAACCCCTAGTTCATGGGTTGCTTGAGGTTCCTGATTTCCAATTTTTGACGCATATATGTTTTGAGTCAAGGCTCCAACAGGTGATCACCTGTTAGAACTCCAGGTGCAGGTGAGTTCTTGGATGGTTTCCCTTCAAACTCAACCAAAAAGAATCCAGGTCTTCCGTAGCCGGGCCAAGGAAAAAAAACAACTCCTGCGGCTTCTGAGGTGGTACTTCCGCAGTAGTGGGCTCAGAGGCGTGCCAAGTGCCTACGGCCCAGGAGGTCCCAGGTCCTGTGGATGGATGCGAGAGATCCATTTCGGAGGTGTTTCTACAAAGGCGTTTTTCGACGGAAAGAATTCTAGTCATTCCCATCCCTTTTTTTCAGCGACCAAGTACTCATACTGTGGATGGTTGCGACATCCATTTCGCACCACGCTGAAACCATGGTTGAAGCACTTGTTTGTTGGCATGCACGGGGGGATCGTCCTTCCAGGGTTTCCTAGGTGGTGCGAAATGGTTTTCGTCCATCCACAGTAGGAAGGCTCGGACATGGCAGTTTCATGTTGCCACCTTTGGGTGGAACATCTATGGAAAACACGCGCATCAGTATGGCAAGTACTTTGCCAGTCAAGGAAACTGGATCTATGATGCTCCCACAGCTAAAATCAGTGCATGCGCAGTGCCATCAGCCCTCCATGTGTTAGCTGTTTTGGCTTAATTAGTTCTTTCCTTCTGATCGGGGATGCTTGTAAGAATTCTTCCGGGCAGGTAATTATCCTCCAGGGCAATCCAAGCTCATGCATGTCGGGTGGCAGTACTCTCACGCAGGACAGGGGCACTCACTGGCGCGTCCTTCGCTTCTCTTGCCGCCAAGCGAGGCCACACGCTCTTCTCCGAGCACCTGCTGACAACCTTGCAGCCAGAGAAGGCCCGTATCGAATTTGTCCGGTTCAACTCAGCGGGTCTTATCAAGCCTACCTGATGAACAGGGTGAGCGCACAAGAGCGGCAGGTCTGGGCTGACAAACCTGCAGTCTGGGCTGTTCAAAGAGCACAGCCACAGACGTCCATCAAAGAAAGCCAGAGGCTCCAATCTCACTTTGATGGGGGTATGATGTCCAGAGCAACCAACAACCCATTTCTGTTGGGCTACCCCCTTTTCTTGGGTGGCTCGTCTTTTTTTCAGATCCTATGGCCCCCCCAAAATGGCGAACATGGCGCCCAGTTTGAGGCGGACCTAGGCGCCCGCCAGCCCGACAAGACGGTGGCGACCGCCTCAGTTTTCAGTCGGAGGGTTTCCTTTGGGCGTTCGGCCCGGAGAGCGTCCCAATTTGTCGGATTTGGGCTAGGAGTTGCTTGCCTTCCATGGGTTCCAGCACCCCCAGACCGAAGCTGCCCCCCAGGGTAAATGGGATACCAACTTGGTATGGTGGCTTTATATCCCATTGAAGCTTTGGGGGCAATTAGTGGTTTGGGGGTAGCGGAAACTATCTTAAATCTTGAGATTTGTTGGTCACATTCCACCTTTTGGCACCGTCTCCTTTTGGTGGTGGTGAGACACGGGATATCGGACCCATGCAGAGCCGGGGTTTTGGACAAGTTCACCTCAACTTGGGCTGACAAGCGAAGGCACGCAATTGGAGTAGGCAAGCAATGTCCTTCTTGCGCTCGGTTGGCAGGTTTCTTTGAACTTGTTGGTACTCAGGCCAGTTCTTTCTGTCTTTCTTTCTTTCTTTCTTTGTTTCTTTCTTTTTTTCATGGACCTTGGACATGCTGTAGGAAGTTGGCACAGGCTTCGGTTTTGGGAAGAGTCCCAAGTGTGCAGCTTACGGCGGTACGACTTCTGGGTCTTATGAGGCAGGATGGGGGCACTGAGGAGGCGCCAGGGGCAAGTTAAGACAGATATGGAATACAAGAACGCAAGCCTGTGGCGTGTATGTTCTTTGCATGATATGTTTGGCTTACTCGGCTTTGCCATTCTTACCTGCTGTCGCGCAGGACGACATATATGCATGTCACAAGGCTTAAATCTATGCCAGATGGAATCGCACCGCTTTTGGCTGAAGCTGACGACGTTTTTGGTCAGTCGTAGCCTGACTAAGGTTACCCTCCATGGCGGTCCCCTCGAGGATCGCCGGCCTTCGAGCACAACGGCGGCGCCCTCAAAAGACGGCTATGTCTCAAAATCCCCCCCCCCGGAAATGGCTTTGGTTTTGTTTTCCGTTAGTGTATTTGATGTCTCGAAATTCGATGGCATGCCTGAACCCTCTCTTGAAGGGGGTCATTTCCTTGCGCGCTGGCTATCCACCTGCTGGTCCACTCCATGCACCAGCATCTACGTCACTGCCATTTACCCCCAGCACGACGACCACTCTTGCGGCACCATCGCACTTGCACACCTCGGCTACACCCTTGACCTTTGGTCGAATCTACATCCCCTTGACATCACCGCCTGGCATCGGCGAGTTCGTGATGGTCATCCATCCACCACTTACCTACACATTGCACGCGGCCCACATTCTGATGACGACACCTCTGGCCGACTTGCCACCCTGCTCGCCGAGAAAGGTGTGCCCCAAGAACGCACCACAGAGCGTGCAGCCCAAGCCATCAAAAAGCTCGGCGCCAAGCACATCTCCGAGGCTCTACACCACAAAAACGCCTGGAGCGTCTTAAAAGCCCTTGGATCACAACCAGCCAACTCCTTCCAGTGGATCAAACCAGATGAGCTAGCGCTCAAAATCCAGCAGCGAGCCGCATCCAACTACGGCATCAGCACGTCCAACAAGAAAAAGAACAAGGACAAGGCGAACATCGCCAAAGAGCCCAAACACGACTCTCAAATCAACCCGGCCGACCTCCAGCTCGTCCCCGGCACCTTTGTCGGGGAAGATGGCATTCCAGTTGAGTCCATCCCAATGCACTCTGTTGGCAAGGGCAAGACTGGCATCGCCTTTGCCACTGTACACCAAATGCTCCCTTATCTGCAAGCTGGCGAACAGCTCAGCACAGGACCGCTCGCAGTGCTTACCACAACAACCATTCCACCAGCACTTCGCGGCAACCTCCACACCGAGGACCTCATGTACCCAGCCATGCACTCGAACACCCAAGAGCCAGTGCTCATTCAAGGCAGCCTCACACAATTGGGCAAAACTGCCGTCACCAGACCCACACTTCGCTCCACACCCGACATCGCCCCAATCACTACCAGCACAGTCAAATTTGCCGTCTCTGGCAAGGCGACTGGTCCACCTTCATGGATGGACCCATGAAGCAGGTCATGCAGGCCTTCCCACTACTCACAATGTGCCGCACCTCGGCATGTGGTGACTCCTGTCAGAAGTTCCATCCTCCAGTCGATGATGATCACATCGACAATGTCGTCCTTGACATCTGGGGCAGGCAGTGGGTCAGCAACTCAGGTGCTCGCACCGACAAAGCCAGAGCCGTCTGTTGGACCGCACTCATCCGAACACCACAACTTGTGCTGCCCAACCTGCTCACTCTCTCGGGAACCAACGGCCTCTTCATCGACCCCCGCGACCCAACTGGCCGACTCCCGGATGAGAACTACGGAGTGGTTTGGCTATCTGGCGCCACATGGCAAACCGCCCACCACAAGCACCGCACTACTGAGGGCTCCCTTTCCATTGTTCGACTCAACGACCGCTATGGCCTGCGATTCCACGCGGCACGGCTACCGGAGGCCCACAAGGAGCTTAAGCCGGACGAACCTTATCTACCAGTCAAGGTCACGGACATCTACAAGCTCTTTCCTTTGCCACATGGCACTCAGCGCCAGGGCCTCATCAAGTCCCTTGCTGCATGGAAATGGCGAGCCAAACCATTGCAACCGTGCAAGGGCGACCACAATGGCATCGGATGGGAAATTGGCTCCCAAGACCCTCCGCCAAACAGCATCCTGCAGGGAGCACATGGTGACGTCATGGTCACTAAGCTACGCACTGTGCGGCCTGAAGCGTCCAACTCCACACTTGTTGCCTTTGACCGCACCCAGCAGTACCTTCACGGCAACCAAGACAAGCCTTCTAGCTCTGCCTCCAGCGACCCCTGGCAGTCAGGACATGACCCGTGGGCCACATGGTTCAACCAGCACCCGCAAGAAGGCAAGGTCCCGGCTGCACCATCTGCAGCCGATCGCCTACAACAAGCCGAGGAACGCATCAAAGCCGACCTTCACGCCACACTCCAGAAACAGATCGATGCTCAGTGGCGCACCTGGGATGAAGACCAGGACATGGACACTGAGGACACTGGCCGCTTCGAATCCCGCTTCAGGCAGCTCGAGACCAACGTCGCCGAGCTACAGCGGCAGAACACCAAATTCGAACACTGGTTCACCGAGGCGGCGGAGGCCAATCAGGCCACCAACATGCAGATCGAATCCGTCGCCAAGCAGGTTCACTCCCATCAGGCTGAGCTCACCACGCTGAACAAGAATGTCAACGAACACAACGCAGAGCTTCGCCGGGAGATGTCCAATGGCTTCAGCAACATCGAGGCATTGCTCTCCAAGAAACACAGAGCCGAGTGACTATCTCACCCTGGACCCAACGAGCCAGCACGTTGGGTGCCAAACCGGCCAACCGCCCGATGCTGGCCTATCCACCTGCTCTTCACATGGTGGCTGCTTATATGCAGCCTCATCCATCCTGCGCATGGAGGAAGTGCCCCCGGGACACCTCCATCAACCAGTTCGCATTTCATGGCATCAGACCATGACTCTATGGCACCTCAATTTCGCTCTGGCACGCTCTACAGCCTGTGGGACGCTGCAGTATGCCACCCTGGATACGAGATACCATACAATCTACCACATCGTGCTTCCAGCCCAATCGGATCATTTCTTACCTTGGACTGGACCTCTCTATGGACAACACGACGCCTTCATGCACTTGAGCCGGCGTTTTGCCATCCTACTTTTTGGACACACCCGTGTCACTACGCGCCGCACACGGCCTTGTCGTGCCTTGCTCGGCTCCCCCTGCACAGCGCGGATTCCCGCGATATTGGGTCGGGCATGGCAAGGCCGTCGGAGCGCACACCTCAGGTACAACCACCACGGACAGTCGTCAGATTTGGAGAGGCCCTTCATCCCGGACCCTCCTTATGCATTGGCACCACCAACCCGAGCGGAGCCTATGGCAAGGCCCAGTACCTGGCGGATCTTCCTCCCGGCATCTGGAATATCAGTGAGACACATCTCACAGCAGTGAACACCAGAACATTTGACAAGCAGCTCAAGTTCCAAGCCAGCCAACGACACCGTCGCCTACGGTCCCTTTATGGAGCTCCTGCCCCCTCCGCACCGGCTCCCAGGTGGCCGGATCATGGACAGGAGTGATGCAGTTTGCTGATCTACCTGCCCAAGCCATCAGTGTCCCCGGCCTCGCCGACTACTACCAGCAAAGCAGACTTCAACTCTCGCGGTTCTGGATTGGGGACTTCCAGATCAGCGGCTTGAACCTGTACGGTTGGCCAACTTCCCCCACCTGGCAGGAGCCAGAACATTGACGGAGAACATGCTCCAGTCCGTCTCCCAGGAGTTCATCATCGGCATGCAAGGTCTCCGCTATGTCGCAGGAGACTTCAACCACCCTGAATCCCTGCCATCCATCCAGGGATGGCTTCAGGCGGGATGGGTCGAGATTCAGTCCCTTCATCACCGACACATATCGTGGCATGTCGCGCCCTGATCGGCTCTACATCTCGCCCGAACTTGCAGCATTCTTCACTGCAGCTCACTACGAAGCATGGTTTGCGGATCATGGAGCCCTTCACGGTGTTTTCCAGATACCGGACAATCACCCCAGCTACTGGGCATGGCCACTACCAGCACAGCTACCATGGGAGGAAGCCGACATACAGACCTGGCATGCATCCTTCCAACCCAGCCTCAACGACACCCAACCAACCCTGGACCCCACTTCACACTACAAGCACTTGGGCTACCTCTATGAGACTAGCCTTGGCTTCCGATGTCATTAGCCGGGCTGTACTCAGATGGTTTCGACAACTACGACGTCTTCAGAGCATGCACCATGCCCTCAAAGCTGGAGGCCAAGGCCCTACGCACCAACTCTACCGGACCGAGCTCTGGCATGCGATACTACACGCACCAGGCTTTCAGCCCACTTTCTGCGAATGGTGGCCCACTAGGAAGCACCAGTTCCAAGGCAGCCCACCTCACTTGCCACTCTATGCTCCATCCCTCGACCTCATGCACAACATCTACAACGACTTCCGCTACAATTTCCGGAGCTTTGAAAGCTGGAATTTGCGCCAGAAGTCGAAATGCAACCAAGCTCGACTACAGCAACATCACCACCGCATCTTCAAGGCTATCAAACCAGCCATGCGGGAGCCCATCGATCGCCTGGTCGAGAAACACACCGTCGCCATCCTCGCGGTCTCAGCGGATGGCACGCAGATCCACACTGATGCCTCGTTGGAGAGCAGGCCATATGCCACCTGGTGGGTGGATGGGACGCCCGCCACCGTCAAACAGCTCTCCCAGGACACCTTCGAGGTTGAGTCGGATCTCCTGCTTGTCAAGGGACAACAGCTACACCAGCACCATCACCTGTCCTCCGAATCTCAGATCCACTCCACGCTGGAACAGTTTTGGCAGAAGCGATGGTCCAAGCATGCTGACCTACCTCAAGAAGCCTGGAAGCGCATCTTTGGATTCGTCAAAGCCTACGTTCCCAAGGGCGCCATCGACCTACCACGCCTTCAACTTCCCCAATGGGATAACACCCTCAACAAGTTCAAAGCTCACGCCGCCCGAGGGCCAGATGGCTACGGACGCCTCGACCTCATCAACATGCCACCTCAACTCAAGCAAGCGCACCTCGATCTACTTCACCGCATTGAACGTGGTGAACAATGGCCTCAGCAGCTTCTGAATGGCCACGCCCACGGCCTTGCCAAGTGCGTTGATGCCGAGGAGGTCTCACAGTACCGACCCATCATCATCCTGAGCATGATCTACCGCACCTGGTCCTCCATTCGCGCCAGACAGGGACTTCAACAGCTCGAGCAGCTTATGGACTGCCCGGCGTTTGGCTTCTTGCCCACTAGAGAAGGTCAGGAGATCTGGCTCCCCTTGCAGGGCCTCATTGAACTACGAGCACAACAATCGCAGCCATTGGTTGGCTGCGTTGCTGACGTTGAGAAAGCCTTCAACCACCTGCCGCGGGGCCCGATCAAGCAGATTGCCAAACATGTTGGATTCGATGCGGATTTTGTCGAGGCATGGCATCGCTTCCTGCTCGGCTTTTCGCGACGTTTCAAGATCCGGGACACGGTGGGCTCTCCTCTTTTCTCCAACTGCGGATACCCAGAAGGCTGCCCATTGAGCTGTCTGGCCATGGCCCTCACCGACTGGTGCTATCATTTGTACCAAGCGCACTTTGCCCCGCGGGCCACATCCATCTCCTTTGTGGACAATCTGGAGATCTTGGCTCATACCCCGGGAGCCCTTCTACAAGCCATGGTTGCTCAGGAGACCTTCCTGGACATGTTTCAGCTCAGCATCGACCTTGACAAGACCTACCTTTGGGCAGTCCATCCGCGTGATCGCCAACAACTCGGCCTCCTCAAGCACCGCATCAGCCTGAAGGACAAAGATCTCGGCGGACACATGACGTATGGCCCGCGCAGGCGAGTTGCTCATCATTCCACCTTGGTACAAAACCTGCAACCAACATGGTCCTTGCTCCGACGGCTTCGTGCTCCCGGCTTATGCAAAACCCATGTATTGGTTCAATCCATGTGGCCCAAGATATTCCACAGCGCCCCCATCGAGGACTTCTCCCTCCAGCTTATCAAGCAACTACGCACTGCTGCGGTTCGCGCACTTGGGCATGGCAACGCAGGCGCCAGCCCTGCCATTCGACTCAGCCTTTTGCAAGGCAACACCCTCGCCGATCCAGGCTTTTACCAGCTCTGGCATGTAGTGAGGACCTTCCGCAGGATGCTTCTGAAGCAGGCCGCACTTCTGGACATGTGGCATCAGTTCCAGGCCTCTTTTGATGGCCACTTCTACGCCGGCCCCTTCTCGGTGTTGATTCATTCGCCAACTCAACGCCGTATCCTGGAAGATCGAAGCTCCACCTTACCTCACCGATCACGATGGCCTTCAACACAACATCCTCACCATCGACCACCACTACCTTCGAAGCATCCTTGAGGACGCATGGCGCCAACGTGTGGCCTTGGACGCCTCCACCAGAACCGACCTCCAAGGACTACAAGGAGTCAACTGGCCTGCATGTCGGCACCTTGGCGCCCACCACACAGCATTGCAGTCTGCCCAGATCTGCGCACTTCGCGAGGGTGCCTTCTACCTCAACACCCACAAGGCCAAGTATGATTGCTTCATCTCTGCCACTTGTGCCAGATGCCTGCAGCCAGACACTGTAGACCACAGATGCCTACATTGCCCGGGCTTCTCCATAAGTCGAGCAGCACATCCCGAAGCACTTGCACTATGGGAAGGAACTCCGATCTCACTTCGCGAACGACTACTTCCACCTCGCAATCCTCACCATGGTCAGCTACGTCGCTACCTGCACTCCCTCCACGAGAGGCCTGTCTCCTTCGAGATCCTTGGTGACCGAGCGCAGGACACCCATGTCTTCTCGGATGGCACTTGCACATCTCCAACGTACAGCCCACTGTCCCTAGCAGCTTGGTCAGTCATATCGGCATCCCGGCAGTCACGAATTGCATCTGGACCGCTACCTGGCGAAGTACAGTCCAGCAACCGAGCGGAGCTCTACGCAGCCCTCATCACTGCGCAGTGGACCAAACGATGCAGGTGCCGAACACATCTATGGACGGATTCTGCATACACCGCAACCGGGATTTGGCAGCTTCAACAAGCCCCGGATGACATCCCAAGCCGAACCAACGCGGACCTTTGGCAGCAGCTCTCTGCCACCCTGGCCACACTTGGTGAAGGCCAGCTTCTGGTGCATCATACAGCTGGCCACAGCATCCCCGCCGAGATGGACGACCCTGTTGATGCTTGGCTGGCGCACTGGAACAACGTTGCTGACTATGCAGCCAAGGAGGCAAATCGCCGGCACTCTGAAGAGTTCCACACCCTCTGGTCGGCGTACAGCCAAACTGAGCGAGATCAGCTGCATCGCCTAGCATGCCTTCAAGAGCTCCACCTTGCAGTCGCAGCTACCAACGCTGAGAACCAGCCCACAGCTGCCGATGGCTTTGAGGAATACGACCTACCTGCCGATGCTGATCCTGAACCCGATTCAGGAGAGGCTCTCGTGAGTTGGCCTGAAGTTTTGAGCCCGGACTGGGCCCAATCACTACCCGGTTCGCGCATCGAATTCAAGTTTGATTCGGGCTTCCCCAGGCAAGCCATCACTTGGCTGCTACAGGAAGCTGAACAGGCGACCCTTGCCTCGCACATCTCATGGCTTGAGGTTGCCGTGATGATGAGACTTGCGTCTCTTAGCATGCCGGTTCCCACCTCGCACACCAGCGGCGAGATCTGGAGGAACCCCAGCCCCCTCTTGGGCGTCCAAACGACCCTTGCCTCGGACATTCGCATGACTCGTTCCTTTTTCCGGTTGGTTGCTGTTCATTTTGGTTTGGACATCCAGGAAGTTCGGGGTATTAACCTGGCCTTTCTTGGGGTTGCTCCCCCGCAAAGCGGTTTAACCCTTAAGCTTTCCACCCTGGTTAAACACCAGGCGCGCCAGGCCCTTCGAACGTTCTGTACAGGCAGGCCCATCAGATCGGCCAACGATCTGTCACGGCCTTTCAGGCAATGACCCTGATCGCGCTCGAAGAACTCGCCCGCTGCACTGCTCGCGCTGTGCACGGGCACCAGACACGTGTGAATGATGTCTCGAAATTGCCCCCCCCCCCCCCCAAGAACAAAAAAGAAAAAGAGCGTTGCTTTCCCTTTGGGTTTTTCTTTAGAATACTCCCAAGGACAGTCAAGCAAATTAAAAAGACACACCCAAATGTTGCTGGGCAAGTCTTGCACATCTCATTCATGAATTTGATGTTTGCCAAAGGGTTCCCAGTTGTAATGCATACCTGTATGACGACTGGCTGTTCGGCCCGTGCATATAATTGCATTGTCACAATGGCGGCGGATTGAGACTGGGTCTATGGGTATATCCTCGAACGGTTCCTCTATCTGGTTTTTTGAACTGAAACCGCCAGCCCCCCCCCTTAAAAAGTCCAAGCTTGAGAACAGGCCCCTTAGAATGCAACCACCTCAGACCACAACCCTACGACCAAGGACGTGGAAAACAACTTGTCGGACACGCTGCAGTGCCAGCCCGGAGACGTCATGGCCACCTTCTCCTCCGTAAGCCCCGCCGGTGTCTGTGGTGTCTGAAAACCGCCCTCGAAGTCTCCTGATCTCATTTCTTTGCATTTTGCCAAGGGATGTTAGGACTGAATCACTTTTTGCCAACTAGTGGATTTTCCGTAGACCATTAAAAGTTAAACTTGTAGCAGGGGAGCAGAAAGCAACCGAGATTTGTCTGCTTGCAAATAGAGAAGCGCAAAACGGGGTGCGAAACCTTGTTTGTTCTTCCATTCTTCCGGATTGGGGAAAGTGGAAGCTCATTGGAGTCTTTTGACCTTGGGTGCCAGAACGCTCTGTGGGTTTCCCTCGGCTTTGGGATGATGTCTTGCCTCTGCGCACGCTCGCTTGAAACTCATTTCTGGCATACACATGCAACACAGCCTGTTCAGACAAACCCCTCGCCAACTCAACCGCAAAGAAGCCGTGTCATACCCAGTTCCATTCCCACTCTCTCAGCTTTTCGTATCGCATCTCCCACATTTCGCTCCAGCGATCTCCCTCAAAGCTAACTTGAGGCCCAGTTCCAAGGGCAGTCTAAAGGAAGGGCGTGTTTTGTTTGCCCAAGTGATCAACCCATTGAACTGAAGCCAAAGGATAAATTCGTAAAATGTGGTTTCTTTGAAGGGAGGCCACTTGCAAGGGGCGCAGAATGCAAGCGCAAGCGGCCAGGCTTTGACGGGTGTTGCAAGGCAATGCTAGGGATCGAATCCTAATCCTGCAGCAGAAGCGCAAGCAAGAGGGTCTTGAGAAATCCGAGAAATCAGAAGGAGAAATGGGGACTCCGCAGGGCAAAGTTTCAAAGAAAGCAATTTTGGAGCAGTTGGCAACGAACGAGTCGAGAGGTACAAGGCCACAGCCGAAAGAACTCCCTTACGAGCCGCGAGGGCTCTGTGGGAACCGTGGAGGCAAAGGAGCTGACGTGATATTCTGTGTGAATCCCTGGAAACCACTAGCATACCACTAGCTAGTGGTGGGCTGGGAGCCGGACTGAGCTCGGGGTATCCAAGTGCTTGCCTTTAAAGAGGGAGCCTTTCGGAGCGTATCTGGGAGCATCCACAGCATCCAAGAGCCTACCCACAAGTGGGCAACCCCGGGTGGGGGTCTGTCTTCTTCTTCTTCTTCTTCTTCTTCTTCTTCTTCTTCTTCTTCTTCTTCTTCTTGAGGCCCACTTTGGAGGGCTTATGAGGTTGGAAGCGAAAACCAAGGGAAACCCCCCCCCCCCGATTGGGGCACCTCCAAACCTCGATTTTCAGCCACCGATCGGAGTTCTGGAAGGGCGTGGTGGGCGTTCAGTTGCCATTTTATTGTCATGGTTGGGGCTATGTAACCCGTTCCGGATTGTCACCCAAGTTGGGGCCAGTCTGTTTAATGGGGATTGAGCCCTAGTGGAATGGGGTTTCAGCTTGTAGCTTTTCATGCCAGGGGACATCCCTTCAAGTGACGGAGCAGTCATAAGGATGGGGTTGGTTTTCAGAAGCAGGGGAGGTTCGCTCGAAATGTCTGGACAATCTATGATCCATTTGGTAGGGAGACTATGGACTCTGCAAATTCATCCCCACAAAGCAGGGGACTCTCCATGCTGATCGTCACATGCTGAAAGGACCAACAGCTCAGCGCAGTAACCATAATGCAACCAGGTTCGAACAAAGCCTCATTACTGTTGCTAGCATAATTTTAACTTCGGATGAATCCGGAGGACCTTGCTTGGCAGGTCAATTGCTTACTAAAATGGGAGTGTCTCTGGATCAATTTGAATACACATTTGGGCGGATGGATGTAGATCGCGATATTCTGATTATATTGCAGCAGCTGAAGGCGAAGGAAGGTCGTGGTCCATTTCTGTCATCGAGTGTTTCTGGTTCGCACCTGGCGATTAGCTGACGTAGGCCTCTCTGAGTCCGCCCGTGGAATTTGACCCTATGTGTTCAAAGCTCAATACGGGTGTGTCTTCTTTGGAGGGCACCCTAAAAACCGGTGGGTGTTTATTTGAAAGCCAAAAGGCCAGCTCTTTTAGGGCAGGGTTTCCTCCATGTCCATTTTTGGAGCCAGTGACCTTTGTAGGCATCCAACTTTACGGCACCCATGAAAACCGCATGTCCGTGGCTTCCCTAAGCACGGGTTTCCGTACCGGTTTGAGCGGAAGAGGCAAACAACATCCGCACGAGAGCTCCGTGCGGATGTTGTCTCACTTCCTGAGTTGCTGTAGTGGTGGGCAAACAATTTTATTTTTTGTGACCAATCCACTCAGGAAGTGAGCTGTTTAACCTGCAAAAGCAGCAAGAACTGATCATTCGGACGTCAAAATCAGTGAGTCTGTTTGTTTTGGGCGCCCAAAATCCGGGGCCCTTCAAGTGAACATGTTCAGGAACCGGTTCTCAACGAGTTGCTTTTGGGTTCCGTTTTCCCTTTTCGCAGCCTTTTGTGTAGCTTTGAAAATGTCTCCGGTGACTTGAAGAGGCTTGGGATGATCTCGACCTGGATCTTCCTTCTGACGGAGGCGGGTGAATTCCGCGTCTCGCGAAGCCGCGCGGATTGAATCGAAGCGACCCGGAGCTGAAGGTTTCCGAGCTTCGACTCGGGCAGCATGGGAGTGAAGGTCCGCATTGTAACCTCAGAAGGAACCATGATATTGGCACGTACGAATCTTCATGCACAGGGGCTGCTGCTGCTGTGTGCGCCTGTGTGTGCAATGATGCCACGCAGGGTGGTTGATTTTAACGAACGTTTATTGAAACTGATTGCTTTGTGAGCGTGGGAGGGGGGGGGGCTGAACAGAGGGCCTTGAGCCTTCAAAACTTGTAGACGTCTGCCACAAGCAGCGCCTAAAAGACAGAGGGCCAAGATGGTGGTCTTCAGACCGCAAGTTCCCGCCAAAGTGCCCCTGGTTTCTAATTGGCTGTGGGTCAAAACCAATGGGATGCCATTTTGATTGGTAGGTGAATTCACCACCCATTTTAGGCTTCCTATTTTCGTGGGGATTGAATCGGATGTTCACTGGGGGTACGATTTGGATTTTGACCCATGGCCAACTGAATGCCGTTGGAGAGCGCCATACCTTGTCCCGTTCTGTGCCGCTCCCTTCAGGCAGACGCTGGAGCCTAGGCACACGCGCTGGGGAGGGGGGGGGGTCGGTTGCCACACGGCAATGTTGAAAGTGCGAAAAAATATCCCAGCGAATCTAGGCGCGGAAGAATCTGTTTGCAAAATGTGCGCATATATTCGGAGAAGTCATTCCCCAAGATGTCGATGAAAGGAGCCATCCGTTTGCATCATAGAGGCATTTTTTTAATAATGCCCTTTCTGTAGCTTCGAAGGAAATCCAAGGGGAAAGCCATCATCTGTGGGTTCACCCTAGAAAAGACGCCCCCACATGGCTCCAAAATCTGAGCGACACGATTTTGGTGCCGGTTGTACGTAGGTCGCCCTTGCCAGATCGAGAGCCCAGCCCAATCTTGAGACGTTAGGGGGTGGGCCGCGTCCTTCTCGGTTGGGCGGGACCTAGAGACAAACCCATGTGTCAGACGGGAGGCATAGAACTACGGGAATACCAAAGAAGGTCAGTTACAAGGGTGGTGAGCGGTTGCGAGCCCTAAATTCTTTACAGAGCCTTAGGGGAACACCCATCCCTTGTCCCTTGGACCACTTCCCGTTTAGGGACTCCAAACTGGAAGGAGACTTCTCTTAGAACCTCCAAACCGACACAAACCCAGACTTGCACTTGTCGGTTGGTTATGAGTGAGCATCATTTAGTTGCCCATGCAGCATCAACAGCTCACTCCAAAAGTGGCAGAACATCGGTGCGTGTGTTGTTTGAGGCTCGGTACCCTTTTTTGGATCTGTGTTTGGAATGGGAAACCAACATGAAACCGAAGCCGGTTTTGGTCGCTTGGCTTCCCCCAGGGCCGACAGACAGCATGGAACTGCGACCGCTGGGGGCCCAAGGGGTGGGTAAGAGGGAGAGAGACGCACACCTGGCTTGGCATGTCAATGTGCCAAAAACAGTGGGGTACATGTTTGCGCGCGATTGCCCTGCGGTGCGCGGGGACATTGGCCATAGATTCTCTTTTTGAGCCAGAAAAGGAGTTGGATTCGGATTCGTTTTCCTCGGGCTTTCTCTCCGGAATGGAATCCGCAGTAGCAAGATGTGGCAAATGGGATTGTGAAACCGTGAGAATGACCTTGTGCAATGAACCTCCTGAGGCTTTCCCATCGTCAAATCCGGGAGGTTCGAGGAACACGGCTGACAGAACGTGACAAGACGAAACAAGGCGGCGCCGTTTTACGCCTCTTAGAGCTGTTTGAACACTTGTTTAGCACCTGTCCAGTACGAGGATCTTTTGAACGTTGGCAAATGCAAAAAAAAAACATTGGCAGAGCTCCAGCTCTGTTTCTTTTGAGACGACTAACCTCATCTTGAGGCCAAGGTTCAATCTAAGGTTTCGGGCTTAGGTCCAGTGTGTCTTCGTTTTCGGGGGGGGGGGGTTCACCTTTTGGCCGTCTTGGTGCCCCAACTGTCGGGTTTCTCCAAGCCAAAGGTCAGACGTCCATTAGGACGATGTTCGACGGTTTTTTGGTTCTGGTGGTTTTAAAGGGGGAACCATCACTGGACGTACTGTGGATGGTTGCGAAATCCATTTCGCACGTTGAAACCATGGTTGAAACACTTGTTTGTTTGGTATTTACAGGGGGGAATCATCCTTTCGGGGTTTGCTAGGTAATGCAGGATTTCGTCCATCCACAGTATGTGTTTTGTGTTTTTTCTCCGGAGACTCAAGCAAATGCAGAGAATGGAGCAACAGCGATGCAGTTGCAACGCGGCTGCTTGGCCAGGTGATGAGGTGTTCATGAAGGGTCATTCAGGACGTGGTGATGGGCTTGTTTCCAAATGGGTAATCCTACGTAGCAAAACTTGTCTTTCCCTTTCGCTTTACACGTTCAAACGGTGCACCCAGATTTCAAGAAACGCAAATGCTCAGCTGGAACTGTCTGATAGTGCCTGTTCTGATGGGAATTAGTTGGCCGTTCCTTGTCCCTGTCTTACATGCAAACCAAAGAGAAACCAAGCGCTTGCAAGGCTGTTTTGTGAAGCGCAGCCCTTCCCACATTCAACTCGGCTGCATTTTTTTAGGGGTTGGGCGCATGGCCCTTCCCCAAGTGGCAGTTGTGAAGCCTGTGGCCGCATCCTTTCAAGGGTAGGGCGCGCCAGTGGGATGGTTCCATCAAGTTCATCGCAGCACTGCACCTCACGGAGAGGGGTTTTCAAAACGACAGCGAAAAAGACAAACCACGTGCAGAACATCGAGCCCGGGAAGCCTTGGCACGCAACGCTGCCAGGTCTTTTTGCTCATGCCTTGTTGAGGGTGGTTGAGTTGAGCGTGTTTGTTGCCAATACTTTTCTTTTGAGGTGTAAGGCCTGGGACCCTCGGTCGCTTGAATTTGGTTTCCTGGTTGCCGCTGTCAAGAGGCATGACCCTTGAGCAACCCTGGGAGTTGTTTCCATAGCATACTGACAGTACCTTTCCGCCTTCTACCGCCAGATGTTCATTTGGAATCTACCCCCCCTCCCGGAATTCTGATTCCCCATCATGTGGATTTGGAATCTCATTCCCCCCCCCCTGGAATTCTGCTTTCCCCACATCAAAGTCAAAGTTTCAAGAGCAAGGCAAAGTGCAAACACTTCCCACGCACCGTGGCCCGGGGTTGCCCTTCGGCCTGCAATGTACGGTGACGGACCGAAGCTGGAGATCTGGCTGGACTGCCGCCGCGGAGCCGATGGGTGGGGCACCCCAGCCGGAAGAAGGGCGAAAAATCACCACCAACTAGGTCCCGCAGTGGCCTTTCTCACCCCTTTCTTGGTTGGGAGGGTTCCCCTACTAAAAGAGATATACAGAAAACAAATCGGGTACCCTTATTCCATCCTCTCTACTGGAGGACCTAGCCAAGGCTGTGTCACATTCGGCTTCAAGGATGTCTTGACAGTAGCAAGTCCCAGTGCGACTGGAGGCTCTCCGACCTCTGCCACCTCAGATTTTTAGCTGGCCCCCAGATGGCCCCCAGATGGCCCCCAGATGGCCCCCAGATGGCCCCCAAAACGTGCCAACCTCCAAAGGAGCGCCTGATGGGGTTTGGCTTCAAAACCCTGGCAGGCCGGCACCCCTGGCCTGTGTCTCGGCAGATGGGCGGATGCCGAATTTTCTTGGGAGGGTATGTGTTGCTATGCGGTTTTCTCCGTGCAAGAGATGCCTTTCAAGCTGGCTGCGAATTTGGGGATGTTGGTCGCCCTTGGGTTTGTCTTACTTGGCGAGTGCCAGACATGATGCGAAGCATCCCAGAAACTGGCGCTGTCCAGTTGAGTGCGGCCCAAGGAAGCATTCGGCAATGCACTTACTTTCCGTTGGCGCCTCACACGATTTGATCTCCAAAAGTGAGCTCACATGCCAAAGCAACGTATGTGTGTTGTGTGTGTGTGCGTGTCTTCTGTTGAGGGTCCCTTTCTTTGGGCTGGTAATGCAACAAAACCACAGCAACACCACCTCTTGCTTTGCAGGGAACCTGTTTTTGTTGAATGCACGGATCATCTTCAGGAGCATGGGGCCTTGCATCACGTTTCATGCCTCACGCGGAAGTTGAGTCCATGCTTGCCCATCAATCTCGGCCATTCCCAACATGATCCGAACTTAGATCTCATGGCACCAAGGAATCCGAAAGAGCGCGCGCAGGCTTGAAGCTTGGGTTGCCAAGCTTGTCTATCCAAAGAGTAGCTTGCTGGCTCTTAGGGAACGGGTTTCGGTCATGAAATCCGAGCTAGGGATCCCAAGGAAACAAAGGATAGTGGCGGTCCAGAAGCGAATCTCAGAGCCAGCTAGATCTCACTACGCCGAGCTGTTGACTTTGTCTTTCCCCTGTTCGACGTTCCGTGGTTCAAGAAAAATAAGCAACTTTTTGCAGTTGCCCAGGCTGGTCGCAAGTGAGAGAGACTGTGGGCAAAATCCACTTCGCACCAGTTGGAATGGCGGTTTAGCCCTTTGAGGCAAAGTTCACCTGCCAACTGGTGCGAAATGGATTAGGTCCACCGCCTGCCAGGATGTCTCTCTTCAAAAACTCTATACGGACAAAGCTTAGCTCAAAAAAGTCAATCCTACTGACTTCCTCAGAAAAAGCTCCCCTTTTTGTTGTTTGTGTTTGTTTATGTTGCTTTTTTGGGTCCCTTTGTTTTCCACTAACCAGGCAAAAATGATATTTTTTGCTGGGGTCCTAATTCTAGCCTAGCTGAGACCTGCGAGCCGTCGATGGATTTCTCGCGCTTGCTCAGGCGACCGCAGGCTCCTTCCCCAAGGCTCCGCTTCCTCCGGCAGCCGGGATTTGATTTGCGCCCCCTGGCTGCCGCGCATTTGTGACGGTGAGGCTGTGTGAATGAGCACGTGGATGTGTGTGCGTGCGTACGTGCGTACGTGAGTGCGTGCGTGCGTGCGTGCATGAATGCGCGCGTGCGTGCGTGAGTGCGTGCGGGCGTGCGTCGGTGCGTGGGTGCGTGCGTGCGTGCGTGTGTGAGTGCGTGAGTGCGTTCGTGCGTGCATGAATGCGCGCGTGCGTGCGTGAGTGCGTGCGGGCGTGCGTCGGTGCGTGGGTGCGTGCGTGCGTGCGTGTGTGAGTGCGTGAGTGCGTGAGTGCGTGAGTGCGGGCGGGTGGGCGGGCAGGCGTGCGGGCGTGCGGGTGTGCGTGCGTGCGTACGGGCGGACGTGTGGGCGTGCGGGCGTGCGGGCTGTGCGGGCTGTGCGGGCTGTGCGGGCTGTGCGGGCTGTGCGGGGTGTGCGGGGTATGAGGGGTGTGCGGGGGGCGCGGGGGCGCGGGGGGGCGGGGGGTGCGGGGGTGCGGGGGGTGCGGGGGTGCTGGTGCCGAGCGAAAGATACATATGAAATTGCATTTGTGAGGGCTGGGGCACGGCACAGGGAGGTCGCAGCTAGGTTTCTTCAGCAAACATCGCGCAACATATGCTTTTGTTGTCTTGAGGAGACAAACGAGCTTTTGATGGCAGGGCCATGACGCGGGGGAGGTAGCCTTGTGCCAAAGCGCTCATTTTGCTTGTTTGGGTTAGCCGGGCAGGCTTGTGACAAGTAAATCCATGGGCGGTTACAACAAGTTGTCTTGAATGTGACAGTCTCACACGAAACGGGCGTTTCAACATTGTGCTCTCGCTTTGGTGCCGCTGTTCAGACTTGTGCGTTATGCATGACCTATGCTGACAATATAGATCTCGCGGCGCGGTGAGTTTTTTGGCGGGCGCAGCATGTCATCAATTTCAGAGCTTTGCAAGTCGAATGCAAACTCTCTCCGGCTGGTCGAATCGTGGCTGCGGCGATGCGCAAATGTTGAAGGATAAAAGCAGAAGATCATTGCTGCAAGTCTTAGCTGCGTACATAAGCTGAGCTTTCGTGATTACAGCACACAGTTAGAGGTGTTTCCTGTTGATAGGACGCCTTTAGAGGGGTTGTGAGAAAGCCAAGTGACTTCCCCCCACCACCACCACCACCCACCCACACCCACCCACCCACCCACACCCACGTGTCTGTGTGTCTCTGTGTCTCTGTGTGTTTGTGTCTGTGTTGTGTTTTGGGTGATGGTATCGTTTGGGGTTGCTTTGTTTGTTGTTGATGGTCGCTGTTGTTTTTGGGGTTGGTTTTTAGGGGAACCAAAGGGACGCCAGGACACCATTCATTTGTTGCTGCTCTTCCTAGCCTGTCCTTTTGGAGATAAACAATGCACGCAAGCGAAACTTTTCCTGACATGTACGAGATGACTTGATTCTCGCAATGGTCAACTTGCTCCGCACATGCGGCGGTTCGCGAGTTGCCAGCGCTGAGGCGGGCGATCGCGTGATTGACTGCGAGGGCCGGGAGATTGGAGCGGCCTGCTTGCATTTGCTGAAGG